TCAGCTTAATTAAAAGTGGATATCCAAGGCTGGGCGTGATGGCTTATAACTGTAATCCCAGCACTTTGGGAGGCCAAGGTGGGCAGATCACCTGAGGTCAGGAGTTTGAGACCATCCTGGCCAACATGGTGAAACCCTCTCTACTAAAAATACAAAAATTAGCTGGGTGTGGTGGCAAGTGCCTGTAGTCCCAGCTGCTCCAGAGGCTGAGGCAGGAGAATTACTTGAACCTGGGAGGCGGAGGTTGCAGTGAGCCAAGATCATGCCACTGCACTCCAGCCTGGGCAACAAGAGGGAAACTCCATCTCAACAAAACAACAGTGGACATCCAAGTTCTAGGTATATTTAAAAGGCCTTTATGTTTTTCTCTTCTTGGATCTTGTTTTGCTGGAAAAAGATTTTTTTTTCCTGTCAATTGAATTATTTTTCTCCATTTTGCCTTGCCACCCTTAATGCATGCATGAGAGGCCCTAAGATAATTTCTAAAAGCCTGAACTCCTTGGGAAAAATGGAAAAGGCAACACAGATTCCATTTTGGGAGAAACCTCTGCTTTCCTCATGGAACCCCAGGAATTAAAAGCAGATCCTTCTCAAAATCTATTTTTGTCTTCTGGCCATACCTGTTTATTGGGCCCTGGAAACAGCATGATTTCCTGGCCATGCTCTTAAAGGGCTCATGCAGAGGCCAATAATCCAATTAGGAGATTGGTAAACAAAAAAATCTTATAGCTACTGATCTTCTTCTGTCTATGTAGTTATATATGTGTTGTGTGTGATGTCTATTAAAAAGAGCTCTAATTAATTGGCATAAAGAAAAATAAGTGCTTAGATCAAATATATTTTGAAGGAAAAGTCAGAACTGTAATGCCTCCTAGTTCACGTGACTTTAATCTTTGAGAAATAAAAACCGTCTTAAAGATTATTGGTAAAATATAAACGTCTTCAAAATGTAAATATGTGATCTAAATTATGCAGTTCAGATACTAGGTTTGCTAAATGTTTTAAGGTTATGAAGTCCTTCTTTGGCTTTTGAGAACTGTTCCACTTGACTGCTTTACAGCTTGGTAAGGCCTGGGGACATATGGAATTAATCACTCCTCTATGCTGAAAAGAGTCAAGCCTGACCTGCCCCTAGAACAGAAGTAAAACAACTTACCAGGTTTTACATTAAAGTTAAGAATTGCTAAGAGTTATCATTGTAACGTGTAATTGAGACTCCTGAAAATAGATTTACATGCAAGGTGTGTAAGAACAGTAAAATGTATTTTTAGTAAAAGATTATAAGAAGGCATGGAAATGTAAATTTTTGCCTAGGGTTAAAGGATTGTTTTAAATTAGATAAGATAAAGCTAAAGGTTTAAACAAGTTATGAAAGGTTTCTAAAAGCTAATCTTGCAAAAGAAATTCTGTGTGTGAACATTAAATTCAAAAGGGTATTATATGGTTTTCTGTAAAGTTGAGAATTGAAATAAAAGTACAATAAGATTTTCTTAAGGCACTAATCTGCTCTTTAGCAAAATGTGTAACAGGTTATAAAAGGTTTATAAGAATCTTTCGTCATGGTCAAACTGGTTAAGATTTGATAGAATGACCTATAAGATTTCATTTTTTAAATTGGGGTTGACAATGCAAGGGTGAAATTTGGTTTTCTCTCTCGAACAGGATTTTCATGTAATAGTAAAGGCTAATTAAAGGTTTTTGCTTTTTCAAATTTTTGAGTTATCATTTTGGCAAAATTAATTACTTATAGTAACCTGGAATTCTATTTTTTTTGTGAGATGGAGTCTTGCTCTGTCACCCAGGCTGGAATGCAGTGGCAACATCTCAGTTCACTACAATCTCTGCCTCCTGGGTTCAAGTAATTCTTGTGCCTTGGTCTCCCGAGTAGCTGGGATTACAGGCACCTGCCATCATGTCCAGCTAGTTTTTGTATTTTTAGTAGAGACAGAGTTTCATCATGTTGGCCATGCTGGTTTCAAACACCTGACCTCAGGTGATCCACCCGCCTCAACCTCCCAAAGTCCTGGTATTACAGGCGTGAGCCACCATGCAGGGCCTGGAATTCTATTTCATAACATCAAGTGTTTTAAACATCTAACATATGTGACAGGCTTCCCAAAATCAAATTTCAGCTTCAAGGTTCTTTCCCTATCCCTTGCTGTTGGATGCTACAGAGAGCCCCTGAAGCATCCAGAAGAGAGGTAAACAGGATTATTTGACATGTTTATGCACATGGAATTGTCAAAATGATGTTTAATCTTCATATTATATTTCAGTGAATATTAATATTATATGTTCCAAAATCGTATGGGATGTCTATAATTCTAATGTCTGAGTATATGCTATCAATCATAATTAAGGTTATTATGTTATTGTAAACCACAGAGATAACCAAATTTTCTTTGTCAATCATGTTTTTAACTGTAACTACCCTGGACATTTTGTCATTCATAGACAATTGTCTTGTTTTGATCCTCTTCAAAGGATGGTTTATAATCAGCCATAAGGCTTTGACAGGTGCTCTCGAATGCAGGTTTCTGATAACCTTGGAGATTGTGACATTGGAATGAAGGAAAACATGCAGGACTCATGAAGGGCTGAAATGTTAATTAATATCAAACAGAACAAGAGTTAACAGAACATACTGAACTAAAAGAAAACTGAAGTGATCTTTTTTTAAAGTTTTTGCTCGAAATGTTGCTGGATCCTTGTTTTGTTTTCAGAGTCAAGGAAACTTATTTTGAGCCATTTACAGCCTTTAATAATTGAGTAAGGTATACTCATGTGATCAAAATTTGGAGCATATTTGTTTCTCTCCTACTTGCTTCTCCAGAATTTGGAAACTAGTTGCCAGTATTCTTAATTTATAGCAATAAAGTTTTTTGCATCAGTGCAATAAGAATCACTTTCTTTTGCAACAGGACACCATTGGAGAAACTGCTTGCTTTACCAAGGCTTTGATTGGAAGGGTATGCTTCCCTTTTAGAAATCAAGCTTGACTTACAGAGCCAATAAAAGCCCCTTGGGAAAACTGACTTCATACCTTGTCTACACAGTCCCCATACAGGTTTCCTAATCTGCAGTGAGTAAGGAATGTCACATTCTACAAGGCCCAGGAACCCCATATTCTTGGGACCTCAAGAAGAGAGGAATTCACCCAACTCATAGGTATGTGAGGGTACAAACCCATGGCTGGGCTCAGCATTAAAAATCCTAAGATTCCTTGCAGAACAGAATTCCATCAAAGCCAATTTTAAAAGCCTATGTAAAAATAATTATTCTTGCTGCACTTTATGCAAATAATCAGGCCAAATACAAGACTAAAGTTTATTTTGCAAACACCTCCATCCTATTGTGATTTATTTTTAACAAAAATGAGAATTGGAGAGAGAAACTATGTTTCAAGACTTATACATGTGTCTTTAGATTCTAGACTCATTAGTTGTTTTTAAGTTTTTTGCCCACATTTTAAACTAACGCTGATTATTCCTGTGAACCAACCAGCAATCTCCAGCTGCAGCTCAGAATAAGCAAAAGGGATGAGTAATGTAAAAATCTGGATCAATATTCTAGTTCTGGGCAATTACCCTGCAAATCCTGCCAGATTATTAGAGTAAATAAGGTGCTCATAACCTGGAGGTATCTTTTTTGGGAAAATAAGACCAAGGGAGCTAACCAAAGCCAAGCCCCATACACCCAAATCTTAGCAGGCATAACTATAGCTACCAGTTATCTGGGTGTGTCTACAGCTTTAGGATTTTTTTTAGCTGTCCTTACCATCTCCCCTTTGTTTCATTTTTATTATGTCTTCTAATAACCTAGTTTGTCTCTTCTCACCTTCAGGCCATTGAACTCCAAACGTTCATGCAATCAGAGCCTCAAATGATGGCTACCTTTTACCAGGGACCCTTAGATAGGCCTCAGGGAGATCTCACTGCTGTTTTCCCAAAACATTGCCCCCATCAGCAGGAAGCAGTTAAGATTGATCACTATCCTTATCCTTATTCTAAGAATAGATGTACTTCTTTAGAGGGTGAATGATAGAGTCAGGAGACAGCCAAATGCTGCCCAGGTCTTTGTGTACAGGGGGATTGCCTAAACATGCCCATGATGAAAAATTTCATCCCGTAACACATACACAGTAAGAGAAATAAATCAATGTGGAGTGGCTCAGACTAAGGGCCTGCCTGCACACTGGGAGAATGGGGTGGAACCACCAGGAATTCATGCAGGGGTAGAAGACTGGGCTCTTCAGCTCATGTGTGGTGGTCCGGTATTCAATTTAGTGAGATGGAAAACCTGCATGCAGGACCCCTCTTTTTGTTGAGAGTTTTCCTTTTCACTTAATAAATTCTGCCCTCCTCATTTTTCAGTGTGTCCCTGTGCCTAATTTTTCCTGGTCATGAGACAAGAACCCGGATTTTCGCTCAACTAAGGAGGAAAAAATCCTGCATTAATGGTATGACTTAAAGCATCAGTTAGATAGCATGCATGAAATTAACCTTAGGTCATGAGAGCCACCTATTTATTATTTTTATTTTTTTCAGATGGAGTTTCGCTCTTGTTGCCCAGGCTGGAGTGCAATAGCACAATCTCGGCTCACTGCAACCTCCACCTCCCAGGTTCAAGCAATTCTCCTGCCTCAGCCTCCTGAGTAGCTGGGATTACGGGCATGTGCCACCAAACCTGGCTAATGTTTAGTAAAGACGTGGTTTCTCCATGTTGGTCAGGCTGGTCTTGAACTCCCAACCTCAGGTGATCCGCCTGCCTGGGCCTCCCAAAGTGATGGGATTATAGGTGTAAGCCACCACACCCAGCAAGAGCCACCTATTTAGATGCTCAACTTCCAAGCAACTGAGATAAAACTGAGGAGCTTATGAGACTACTAAGCAAGAGGAAAAGGCGACACTGAGGAGCTGTATGAGAAAACAATGATTTCAAACACAAGACAGTATTAGTGTGGCTAAGTTGCAAATAACAGAAAACTCAACTCTAACTCATTTGACAGATGTTTATTGGCTCACATAGCTGCAAAGTTCTGAGGTAGGTCTGCTTCAGGTAAGGCTTGGTCTAGTGGCTCAAAAGATGTCACCAAGAACCTAGTTTCTCTCTGTTTAATCACTGTCTTCTTTGGTATTGGCTTTAATCCTCAGGCTCCATATGGTAGCACCTGTAAGCTTGAGAATCTCCCCTTTTAATAGAAAAAAAAAGTTGCTACAATTCTAGGCCTCATATTTTCCTATGTGCCACAAAGAGGACAGATAATATCTCCTCTGGTAGCACTCAATGAAGAAAAGCCTCTCTTTTCCAGAAAACCCAGTATCTCCTCATATCGCAATGGCTCTGTGGCCAAGGGGATGGGATAAGCTGATTGACACAAGCCAAACAGGGTCCACTCATGAAGTTGGTGGTGGTGCCAAACCACATAGCTGAGAAAGGATACCTTCCCAAAGAACACCTGGGTAACTGTTCCCAGAGGGAAGGGGAAGAGATGATGGAAACCAATAAAAGATGACCACTTCTAAAAATATTGTTTTATAAACTCCTGATTTCAAGTAGTTAGTTAATTCTATAATTCTTAACTTTCCTGTGTAGACTCTACATGTTCATGTTTATCTCTGGTCCTGGACCTAGGGAGGGCATTTCTGACTCTGATGCCAATACTGGATTATGTGAAAACTTTTAAACTACTGACTAGATGAAGCTATCTAACAAAGCATTAACCACCACCAGAAAGTGACCATTTCTCCCTCCCTTGGCAGTGGCCTCACAGCTTATCAGAATATAGGCTATTATGGTAGTGAAGGATGCACAGACTGGGAGAGGATTTAGGATAGGAAGCAATGAGAGGGGTTGGAACTATATCAATTTTTATGAAAAAAATCTCCAGTTGAGTTTACGTATTCCCAATCTCAGAATGATGTCTCATAAAACAAAGGCAATCAGGTCCCTTAAGACCTGAATTGGCCAGGTGTGGTAGCTCAGGCCTGTAATCCCAGCACTTTGGGAGGCCGAGGCAGGTGGATCACAAGGTCAGGAGAGTGAGACCAGCCTGGCTAACATGTCGAAACCCCGTCTCTAATAAAAATACAAAAAATTAGCCAGGCATGGTGGCGGGCACCTATAGTCCCAGCTACACAGGAGGCTGAGGCAGAAGAATGGCATGAACCCAGGAGGTGGAGCTTGCAGTGAGCTGAGATTGCGCCACTGCACTCCAGCCTGGGCAACAGAGCAAGACTCCCGTCTCAAAAACAAAAAAATTAGAAAAAAAAAAAAAAAGACCTGGATTACTCTCTGCTGTTTCCCTAAATTACTTCGGTGGCCTCAAAAGGAAACTAACTTCTGAAGAAAAGGTCCTAGAGTTGATAATGTAACTGCAATGTTGCTTCCATCAAATAAGGTTTTCAGTGAGACAGAGTTATGAAAAGCAGTACTAATGAACACTTGTATACAAAGAGTATCCACAGAGATACACAACCAGTAGCAGTGATTGCCTCTGGGGAGAACTCAAGAGATAGGAATGACAAGGAAATTTACTTTTCACTGAACACCCTTTTCAACTATTTCAATTCTTTTTTATCATGAGCATGTTATCTCTAGTCAAAGATTAATGTTTCAGGATTTGAAAAACAAAAGAAATGCAGTGTTGGTCCTCAGAGTCATTTAGCTGGAGTTAAGATTCAGAGACTTGAGACTATTAGAAAAATGTAAGATGGCACATAATTAAATACTAACTTGGGTGGTACTGATTACAAGTAGAAGAGGAAGAGAGATCTGCTTAGTTGAAGGAGCTGGATCTGAGTGATGAAGGGAAACTAGAAGTACAGGAAAAAAGCAAATCAAAACGGGCAGAGACATAAATACGCACAATTAAGTAAAGAACAGTAAACTCTGCAGTCAGAGAGGCCTGGCTCCAATTTCAACTCTATAACTTACTGAACAACCCTGAATGAGTTTTATAACCTCTTTCAACTCAGATTTCTCATTTGTAAAACAGGGAGAAGAGCACCTACCTTAATAGGATTGTTATGCATACTGTACGTAAAGTGGTTAGCACCTGATACAGAGTAGCTGCCCAACTAAATGATGCCTTGTACAAACATCATAGAACAGGCGGACCAGTCTTGCTAGACTAAATGTTCAAAACGGCAAGATAATACTGGCTATTAAAGTTAAGGGTTACAGCAAATTGTGAACAGTCATCTCATTTTGTCTCTGGGGTTCCTGCAGCATAAGAATTATAAACAAGTATCACCATTATGCACTCTCTAAAGTTCAACAAGGTGAGAGATTTGACAGTTATAGGGTTTTTCTCTAGCATGGCGCCTCTGGTGCTTAATTAAGACAGACTTCTGACTGAAGGCCTTCCCACAGTCATTACATTTATAGGGTCTTTCCCCAGTATGGATTCTTTGATGTCGAATAAGGTGTGCCTTGCAAAAGAAGCTTTTCCCACAGTCAGTACATTCATGAGGCTTGTCCCCAGTGTGGACCCTCTGGTGCTGAGAAAGATCTGAGTTCCACATGAAGCCTTTCCCACAGTCCTTACATTCATAAGGCTTCTCCCCAGTGTGCATTCTCTGATGTCGAAGAAGGGCTGGGTTTCGAGTAAAGCTTTTCCCACATTCCTTGCATGTGTATGGTTTCTCACCAGTGTGGATCCGTTGATGTTGCATAAGGCTTGTGTTCTGACTAAAGCCCTTCCCACATTCCTTACATTCAAAGGGTTTCTCTCCAGTATGTATTCTCTGATGACGAATCAGGTTTGACTTCCAAACAAAGGCCTTAGCACATTCTTGGCATTCATAGGGTTTCACCCCACTGTGAATTCTCTGATGTGCAATGCAATGTGATCGAAAACTGAAAGCCTTCCCACATTCCTTACATCCATAGACCTTTTCTCCATTATGAGTTTTCTGGTGTTGATCAAAGTCCTCACTTTGATCAAAACACTTGCCACATTCCTCACATATATAGAATATTTGCTCACTTAGAATTTTGTGATGTATACCAAGGAGGTTATTGACATCAGTATTCTCTGAACTCTCTTCTACTGAGATCATCTCATCCTTGACAATCACTTCTATAATATCATTTGAAGAACTTTCCATACTTCCCCCATTGAGGTAACCACGCCATCTCCCTAACCTGCTTTTCTCTTCACAGGTTTTCCCAAACCATAATTCCCGGGATCCACACCACCGGGGTCCACTTGATAGGACCATGAGGTCCTGTGCTTCCTCAAGAATTTCCTCCTTCAGAATAAAATCTTCTTTCTTCCTCTTCAACACACCCTCTGAAAAAAGAAATCAGAGCTTCAAATGCCATCATTATCCATGACAGAGCGACAAAGGTCACCAAGTGGTATTAATATGTCTACTTCTCTCCAACTGCCACCTGTCTCAGTGGCCCTGTCCTAGATGAAAATGGCAAAAACAAGGCTAATACACAGAAGGAAACCAAAAGTAAAGACAGCAACTAGATAGAATCCCTGAGGGCTATGATTCCTGGCACCAAACCAAGTACCAGAGTAGGCTCTCAGAAAACAGATGAATTGAATCTAAGGAAAACAAAGTCAGAATTCCTCCTAGGTAGCTCAGTACAGTTTGTAACATGAGAAGAACAGGCCAGGACTTAGGGCAGAGGACCTGTTCAGAAATAAGGAATCCTTAGTGGTATACCTGGGAACCTGGGCTTGTCACACACAGCAGACAGTAGCAAGAATGAGCTTCCTCATATTTTTCAACACTAAAAGGAAGTATAGTCTTCTCTTTCAATCCAATCACCAAGTTCACCATGAAACCATGGAAAGTGCCTTCTCAAACTACTCCAGGCAGAACTGGGCAAAGACTCCCTCCTCTTTGTTCTCATAGTGTCTTACTCACATTCTGTTACAGCTTTATCATTTTTCTGTAATTATAAATTTATGTATAATGTCCCATGAGACTGTGAGTCCTTCCAGGATAAGGGCCATATATGACTTGATTTTTTTTATCCCTAACAACTAACACAATGAGTAAAACACAGCATCTACATTAAAAATATTGGGTGATCATAGCAGCCAGATGGGGCAGGCCATCTGTTCAGTTTAAGCCTAAGACAAAAGACCCATCCTAATTTAATTAAATTAATTGAGCTTGTCCTAATGAAAGTTGGAAGCTTAGGGTTTAAGTTTTCTCTTAATTGGCTGATTTGGGGATTTGGCCCCCAAATTTGTTTAGAATAATGGCAAAATGGACTTTTACATCTTATAAAAGACAGACAGGAAAAGGTGTGACTGAGAGAAGAATGCTCATTTCCCTCTCACTTACCAGGACAAATTAGGCTTGGACCCTCTTCTTGCAGTTTCAGGTTTAATGGCTCTTCCACCTGCTGAAGATGGGAAATCCCAGCAGGTTTTAGAAATGGATATCCTGCCAGGGTCAAGATACAAATAAGGCTGGTTCAGTCAGAGGAGTGAGGCCCATCAGGAAAAGAGCAGACATGGAAGTGGTAGGGAGAGAATAAAGGTGGGTGAAAAGACTGGTAACATAGATAAGCAGAAATTTGAAGGTATAGAATAATAAGGATAGGCTGGGCATGGTGGCTCACACCTGTAATCCCAGCACTTTGGGAGGCCAAGGTCGGTGGATCACCTGAGGTCATGAGTTCAAGACCAGCCTGGCCAACATGGTAAAACCCTATCTCCATTAAAAATACAAAAAAAAATTAGTCAAGCATGGTGGCACACACCTGTGGTCCCAGCTCCTCAGGAGGCTGAGGCAGGATAATCACTTGAACCCGGGAGGCGGAGGTTGCAGTGAGCCGAGATTGTGCCACTGCATTCCAGCCTAGATGACAGAGCAAGACTCTGTCTCAAAAAAATAATAATAATAACATAAAGGATAGAAAATACCGGAACAGAGAAGTTGCAATTCCATCAGTTCCCAAAGATATGAAAACATATAACTCACTTGAAAATGTCAAGAAGAAATAGAAAAGACTAAGGCCTCTTCGTCACCTATCCCTAGGAGGTGAAATCAAGTTCACATAGAAAACAATCAGGATAGGATGGAATTGCAAAGAGCTATTCTTGAGGACTTCCTGTCTAGGCAGGCTATTCTGGGAAACCATAATCTCCTAGTTGCCTTGCTATCCATTTATTGCTTTCTCATTCTACAAAGATTCAATGGATGGGGTCTCTCTATGGCATCCATAAGAAATGGACTCACACCTTCACTCAGCCACTTCCAAAAGTCACTTCCTACTCAATAACAGACATCTCTGTTCACAGAGATCTACTCTAATACACCTTACTTCTGCTTCTGCTAGAACTGTCGCTTTGTAAGTTTCATCCAAAACCTCCTAAGAAACAGATCAATTCTACACCTTCAAATGACAACCTTTTCTGTTGCCAAATCCAGGGACTATGTATCCTCCAAGTATTAACTTCTGTAAGACAAAAGTGGACTTTGAGTAAGGACAGGTATGTGCCAAGAAGTCAGCTGCAGGTCAGAGAGTTAGAATGCTGCTCAAGGAGTAACTTAGCTGTTAGTTTTCTACCTAAAGCAAAACAAAGCAAAGCAGATAAATTCCCTTAGGTGGTGAGGAGAGGAAGCACTGAGAATGTAGAATACACTGTGGTGGGCTCCCCACACCCATTCCACTCCTCCCCACTGTAAAGTAGCTATGCCCTGGGAGCTGGAGTGGGGAGTTGGGTATCCCAACTCCACTCCCTAGGGTAGGCTCTGACTTAGATAAGCCAAGCAGGTTAATCCCATTCCACTCGCTACATGGGAGACTGATTCAGAGATCAGCAATTCAGACCAAGTCAATCAGTGCACGGTAGTTACCTTGCCACAGTGATTGATTTAGAGTTGGCATATGACTTAAGGTAGTCCATTAGAGCATACTTGGCACTTTGATTCACAATGTTTAAAGCCTAAGGCAGGCCTGCCAGGTTTCTTCCCCTAGGTATGAAGCAGCAGAGTCCTGTTACTATCACCAATCACCTTACAACGAAAAGGGGAGCCAGACTGTAGACAAAGCCAACACATACAGAGACAGAGCAGAGAATGTAATTCTGATCAAACTGTACCTGCAGCCCACTCTACCTCAGACTTCCCAGTTACATTAAACAACAAATTCTTCTTTTTTGTTTAAGCCAGTTTGAATTGGGCTTTAATACTTGCAATCAAGAATATTCTAATATGAAAAGACACAACAAGGAACTGTGAGAATGAGGAAATTGGGAGCACAGCTCAAGTCTCACTGCGCCCAAAGAAGAGCCCTATGAGAAGATGAAATGGGGCCAAGGAGGCAACCAGGAAATACAGTTATCACAAGGAAACTAAGAGTAAGAAAGTCCTGTTGGGCCTAAAGTAATCCCAGGGCTTTCCCCTGAGGAACAGGAACTATTTGGCTGAGGGTTCAGAGTTCTTGGTTTCTAAAGATAAAGATGGCCATTACATCCCAAGCTGGAAGACTGTAAACAGGCCAGGAAGCAGAAAGGGCACCAAAGATCGGACAGGAAACTCATGGGTCAAAGATACATCATAGTCATGATAACAGCAGAGATGGGGAAAAGGCAAAACAGGTTAATGAAGATGGCACACAGAGGAGTCAGGATGAATAAAACAAGGACTCAAGAAGATGGAAAACTATGGGAACACAGAGAAGAAATGGAATCCCACTAGTGTCTACAACACTAGGTTAAAAGAACATCTATCTATGACATTTTAAAGATCATGACAAGCAAACTGGTCAGATAACCGGCACGTGTGCCCTCACTCACCTGATGAGATGCCCCTTGGGTCCTCTCCATCCAGAGCTCCCCAAGGAACCGAGCACCAGGGTGCTTCCCCTCGCTCCAGCTGGGAAATCAGAGCCGGTTTGGGAAATGGAAATGCTGCTTAAGAGGAAAAAAATGGGACAGGCAGGTGAGTGGTGTGACACAGAGTAATCCCAAGGCTCCTCCCAGGCCAGTGTCTTCAGGGACAAGAGGGGAAACAACTAGGAAGAACAAGAAAAGGAATTTCAGGGTAAAAGACAAGAGAGGGGCCAGGAGACTTACAAAGGTCAGGAAGTTGACAGACTCAGTAACTGTTTGAGTTAGCAAATGGATGATTTCACTCATTGAGGAATTGCGTCCTCAATTCTTACCTGTCCTCTCCCTCTTAGAGCTCTCATGTTCAGACATCCTCATGAGGATGCTAGGAATTGGCCTGGATCTTGCAAACCGAGAGGGCGGGGAACTGAAGGCTCAGTGGGGCACCATGAATCTGCTCTCTTCTCACTATACCCACAACACAAGGGTAGGGGTTGGGCAGCTCTCACTCTGGGGCAAGGAAGTCCTGTATAAAGCCCAAACTGATACCAGGACTTCCTACTTCCCAACAACTGCTGGGTCATTAAAAATCCAAGAGCCTGAAGCTGCCACTGAGCTGAGGGTTATCAACAACTCCTGAGCCTTTGAGAAAAAAGAAGCCGGCAAACTCTGAAGGGTGGAGGCAGGGCCCAAAGGGAGACCCTTACCCATGGAAGCCACAGCCCCATAATTCTCCAGCATCACATCCCTGTACAGCACTCTCTGAGCAGGGCCCAGGCCGATCCATTCACTCTCAGAGAAGTAGACGGCCACATCCTCGAAGGTCACTGACTCCTGAAACAACATGTGTTTAAATGCCCTAGGACAACCTCAGGACCAGGCCAGGAGGAAGGGGAGACAGGGCACCAAAAGGTACTGTGGGGGGTGCCTGCGGGGATTCTGGATTCTGAATATCTACAGGAACTCGATCAGCAGAAGATTTTTGCCTCCTATGTACAAAGAGACAGGGCATCAGCTATCAATTTTCTCATGTCTCTTCATCTCTATTTCAGCAAACATTTTCTCCTCTTTTTCATGAGTCTGCAAAAGTTTTCTCATTTCATCCTTATACCCCAAATCACATCTGTGCTCTAGGTCCCATCCTTTCTCCACAATGTGTCCTCCTTCAGAGGTCACCCACCCTTGATAACAACTATCATTTCTTAAGCCTGTGCCAAGCATTTGACACTTACTGTTTATGTCTCATAGCCTACTATCAGATCCATTTTATGGAAGAGGAAACTGAGACTCAGAGGGATTAACTTCCCCCAAAGTTCCAGAACTGAGACAGAACCCAGGCCTATTTGACTCTGACTCTTGCCTGTTATGCCACACTGTCTTCCGTCCCCATTCCTACCGCTGCTGCCCCTGTGTAGGACTCTTCCTCCTTTGTCCTCCCCAGTTACTGCCACTAGCCACAGAGGCAGCTGGGGCTCCTCAGAACATTCAGGTTGCCCTGGACACTGTATTCAACAGGACAGATCCTCGTTGTGACTTTACTCCCTGCACCCCCCGACTCGCAACACACTCTCACAAAGATCCCACCTCACTTGCTTCCCCACGTCCCAATCTCCATATTCCCATTTTCTATATCTCTAGGAATCTCAGCTCCTGCACCTTCTTTCTCTTATCCTCTTCCTTAAGAAACAAATACTGCTCACCTCCAGCCACTGAGACTTCCTGTAATTCTCAGCTACCGCCTCCTTCAGGGTCTTAGTCTCCATACTGTGGAGGAGCTCATTCTGGTCCACTGCACGTCAGTCCTTGTGCACTACAAAGTCTCCACAGCTATTGATCCAGCACTCCAGGGCTCCAAGGCTTTGGCTGGCTCACCTTTGTCTGCCTAATAGAGTCCACATTCCTCTGCACTACAGACAATTTCATTTACTACTCACAGACGCAGCTTTCCTGGCCAAGATCATCAGCCACCACCACTCTCATCCCCTATCCTCTCACCATTCCATTGGGAAACCAAATTCTTTCCTCGCCCTGTTCTGTGCCCTTGCACCTGCGGCTACTCTTGCCTAAAGATCCAGTTCTTCCCTCCTGATCCTTCACTGCAAATTCCTTTTCAACCTAATACCCAGCTCAAACATAACCAGCTCTGTAAAGGTGGCTCTGAAATTCTGGCCATTCATCGCCCCCCATGGCACCCTGTGCGCTCTGCCCCAGCAGTCGGCTCAACCACGTGCCGCTGCACGTCTGCTCTCCTTGAGGCTCATGTCCCGGGAGTGTCGACTCCGCTGTGCTGCCTGTCCCTCGAGACCCCTCACTCTGGGTTGTAACCCCATTTCCCAGCCGCCGCACCACCCGTCTCCGGGCCTAGAACCCAGGGCAGGGCCAAGCCTGCTTCCAGGCTCCGGCCCCGCACTCACCGGGCGCGCCCGGGGCGGCGCCGGCTGTCCCTGCAGCAGCTCCAGGTCAGGGCCGAGGCGTGTCCTGCTCGCCAGGGCTGCGGCCGCCATAGCCCGGGTCGCCCTCTGGGAAAGCGAGCGCGCGCCAGACCCGACCGGAGGCTGTTGGGGTCAGGAAGGAGCGCTCTGGACCTGGGCAGGTCTGACACGGCTACCCTGAGCCCTGCAGCCACCTGAGTAAGACCCCGACTCCGCTCCCTGCCAGCCCCACGCCCAACTCCTCATGCTCCTCGCCAACCAGACCCCCGCATCCGGGAGTCCGGGGCTCGGGCCGCTCCGGTTGCTCTAGGACGGCGGAGGGCGCCGCGTCTCTGTGGTCCTCCGTTCTAGCTCTGGAAGGGAGGGGAGAGCGGTCCGGTTCTCCTGGAGACACAGACGATCCCAGGGGCCGCTACCGGGGTAGGGGTGCAGGCGGCTGGGGAGGAATCCGTCCCCGGCGCTCTAGGCCATCCCTTCCTCTCCAGCACGCTGCACCCTGGGTGGACAGGTATTTGCTGACAGGAGGTAGCGGGTACTTCACTGGACTGCACCTTCTCTTTCATCTCTCCTTTTACCAGTTTCTACATTCCCAGAGCAGACCTGTATTTTATGTTATGTCTTTTAACATTCTCATCTTTGTGCCTCTAACATGCGCCCGATGTCTAGCACCTCCTGGGGAGTAATTTCTTTAACTGCCAAGAAATATTTGTAGAATTGTCCACGAAAAGTCAAACTGTAAAATATTTGAAGAGATTTATCCTGAGCCAAATATGAGTGACCATGGCCCGTGCCACAGCCCCAGGAGATCCTGAGAACATGTGCCCAGCGTGGTCGGGCTACAACTCGGTTTTACACATTTTAGGAAGACATAAGATATCAATTAACATAGGTAAGATGTACGTTGGTTTGGTATGGAAAGGTGGGACAACTGGAAGAGGAGGCTTTCAGGACATAGGTGGATTCAAAGATTTTCTGAGTAGCAATTGGTTAAAACAGTTAAGTTATTGTCTAAAGACTTAGAATCAATAGAAAGGGATGTCTCAGTTAAGATAAAGGCTTGTGGAGACCAAATTTTATCATGCAGATGGAGCCTGTAGCAGGCTTCAGAGAACAGACTGTAAATGTTTCTTATCATTATCACACTACCGGATAGTCTGTGAGACTTAAAGAGGCTGTTCTATCAGTCTTAAGGTGTGTGTTGATGTTAATGCTGGTCAACTGGGCCTGAATTTCAAAAGGGAGGGGAGCATAATGAACCATGTCCAGCTCCTCCTTTCCATCATGGCCTGAACCAGTTTTTCAAGTTAACTTTGGAATGCCCTTAGCCAAGAGGAGAGATCCATTCAGATGGTCAGGGGGCTTTGAATTTTAATTTTGGCTTACAGAATAAAAGAATGAATAAATGTTGAACCAGTTTTTCATTTAAAGAAAGTAAGGCCCAAGGAGAAAATGGCTTGCCTAACATCACGCAACATGCCAGGAAATTAAATTTTTTAAGAGTTGTGAAAATAAATAAAGACTATTCAAGTGAGAACAAAGACTATTATTCAGAGCTTACTATATATGACAAGAAAGTCAGCCTTCATCACTTGCATTCAGCAGACTGAAAAGCAGGCAGAAGAGTGGGGAAGGCTTTACAGTGGAAAAAAGGAATGGCTTCAGGTATTCCCTTATTGGAAGTTGCTGGCATGGGGAAACTACAGGTGGGCTAACTAGAAGCAAGGCATCCTATGTAATTGGTTAGGGGGAAATATTTGGCTTTCTCTGGTCCTAAGTTGGAAGTAGTATGGGAAAAAGTAGGGAATCTGATAGTTTTCAATCAAATCGCTACCCCATCTCTACAAAAAAAAAAAGAAAAAGGAAGGAAGGAAAGGAAGGAAGGAAGGAAGGAAGGAAGGAAGGAAGGAAAGAAAGAAAGAAAGAAAGAAAGAAAGAAAGAAAGGGAAAGAAAGAGAGAAAGAAAGAAACAGAAAGAAAGAAAGAAAAGGAAGGAAGGAAAGAAAGAAAGAAGGAAAGAAAGAAAAGAAAAGAAAGAAAGAAAGAGAAAGAAAGAGAAAGAAAGAAAGAAAAAAGGGTCAGGGAGAAAGGAAGGAAAAGGGAGGGAGGGAGAGAGGAAGAGATCAAATCCCAGCTGTTTGGGGTCAATTGCTACCAGGGTTACTGTTTTGGTTAGTGGACTGATTGCCACAGATAGTAATTTAGTGGTTTGACTTCCTAGAGTGGTTTTACCATAGAAAATGGGTTTGCTTCCTGGACTGGTTGCTACAGATTGTGTGACAGAGTCTTGTTTTTCTATGTAGTCTGGCCATTGCCCATTTGTATATTCAGTGTCTCGGGATGAGCAAGGTAGGAAGATAAATATGGAATTCAAGTCCACAGGCTCAGATGCTCTGATGCATGAATAGCTCCCCAGGTACTGAGCACTTGCAGATACCATACCTGTAAAAAATCACAGAGCAAAAGAGACCTCAGATGGGCTCCCAGTCTTGTTTGTATGCAAGAAGATGCTAGAGAGGTTCTTAAATGGACAGTACCTGATAGTCTGTGACAACTGAGATGGAAGTGGTAACTCTTACCATGGGGAAGATCACTAGGTAGGTTGAGGATAAAATGAAGTCTCTTAAGATGTTCTTGGTGACAAGATGGAGAAAATTGGACTGGGTGACAAAACAATTATGAGGGTTTTAGCTCAGAACAAGGAACCCTGGAGATGCATGATTACTAAGTCATGGTCCACCAGAAGGAAGGTCTCTTATGGCTCTGAATAGTGTTTTGGTTCAAAACTTTTAGAAATCTGAAGAGGAGAAGAATAGGTAGTCTATTATATTTACCCATATTTTTACTCATTCCATTGTCCTTTCTGTCAAACACACAACAGCAGGCAAAGCTATGGCTTGACTGATTTGGCTAATAAAGATATAATAGGCAGGGTGCAGTGGCTGACGCCTGTAATCCCAGCACTTTGGGAGGCTGAGGCAGGCAGATCACCGGAGGTCAGGAGTTCGAGAACAGACTAGTCAACATGGCGAAATCCCTTCTCTAGTAAAAATGCAAAGATTAGCTGGGTTTGGTGGCGTGTGCCTGTAATCCCAATTACTCTGGAGGCTGAGGCAGGAGAATCGCTTGATCCTGGAAGGCAGAGGTTGCAGTGAGCCAAAATCACGCCACTGCATGTCAGCCTAGGCAACAGAGTGAGACTCTGTCTCAAAAAAAAAAAAAATACAATAAGCCATTTTTAGACTCATACAATGTATTATTTACATAGACAGCAAAAGGAAGAGTAGACAAACAGGCCAGCTCCCCAGGTCCTCCTCCTACATGCTAAAAAGAATGCCATGAAACAAAAGGGAGCTGGATGCCGGCAATGTGAGTTGTCAGATACCCCATTTCTGAGGAGCCAATTTTAGACTGCAACAAAGTAGACTGTCTACTTTGTTGCAGTCTAAAATTGGCTCCTCAGAAATGGGGTATCCCACAACTCACATTGGGTTGAGTAATGAACCTATGTGGTGGCTTATGCTCTTGAGAATTCTTAACCATATGTGTGATAGGTTGGGAGGTGGAATTATGGACTTGGGAGGACCTACCCTCCTCAGGATATAACTGCTGGGGGACAAAAGTCTCATGCTTCATCAGAACCTTGGAGGCGACGAAAACCTGTCTCATGACAGCCTCCTATAGGAGATAGGAAAGGGAGTGAGGGATGACCGTGTAAAGCTCCTCTCATCCCCTTGTGTTCTGGAGGATCACAAGACAACCTGCTAAGACTTAGATTAGCTGCTGTTCATGCCTTTTCCTGTGTGGCCTATGTAGCTATGTGCAAGGTAGCCGGGGTACCATGACAGAGTCATTCGCCTACAACTCTACCTCCCAACCTATCACACATATGGTTAAGAATTCTCAGGAGCATAAGCTGCCACTTAGGTTCATCAGATACTCTAGTTAATTGTACTGATAAAGACGTGGACCAGATCCATTCTATTTCTTTTAGGCAACATCAAATCAGAGTAACCATGATTATGAGTCCCTGTAGTTTAATCAGGCCCACTGGATGGTAGACATATTCCCAATCCAGAACCAAGCCAGTTAATATGGCTGAATGCAGGCGAGGCAAGAGGTGTTGGCAATGGCACATATTGCACCTGAACTGACCAGTGGGAAATCCAAAACCATCCAATTGTCCACTATCGGTCATGCTAGAGAATTTAGAACAATAAGTGGTCTGTGAAAAAATGTGCAAAAGAGTCCAGTGACAACAGGACTCTTTTGAGTCTAAAGGGAATAATATCAACTTTCAGAAAGTTAACTTTGTTATGTTATATCTTAGTGAGGCTGTTCCTTTCTGGAGCCAGTGGTTTTGGGAAGATTGTGATAGTTTTAAAATTAAGATTGTTTGTTGGCCAGTGGTGAAGTTGATAGCGGTAGCAGAAGTCTAGGTTAAATTGGCCAGATATCCTGCAGATTGTAGCTAAGAGAAATTAATGGACCTTCCTTCTGAAACCACCTTTGCAAAAATTATAAGAGAAAATTATGATGGTGAAAGAGATCTGAACTAATCGACTCCATCTTGCTTTTAACTTCCAAGCTGTCATTGTTCATTCCTGGGCATGGCCAAACTAACTTTGGGAGGCCCTTGGTTTATAATTTAACTTTGAAACAAAGATGGTAACAGCCCTTTTCCAAAACAAACCCCCTTCCTGCCTGCAGACTAGACTGCCCTTGCAGGACTAACAAAGTAGCCACAAGATTAGAAATTATGTTTTAAGAGTCATGCAGCTGGAGGCTGGAAGATTCTGAACCTCCCCGAATTGTTCCTGGGGATAATATCACTCTTATAAAACCAAAGATCAGTGCTTGAGATGTTTTGCAGACCCTGCACACAGTGGATCAACTGGCACCACCCAGATCGGTAAACTGGCCCATCTGGTATTGTGGCCCCCACCCAGGAACTGACTCAACACAAGAGGACAGCTTCAACTCCCTATGATTTTATCTCTGACCTGGCCAATCAGGACTCTCCACTTTCCAACCCCCTACCCACCAAATTATCCTTAAAAACCACAACCCCCAAGTTTTCAGGGAGACTGATTTAAGTAATGATAAAAACTCCAGTCTTCCATATGCTGGCTCTGCATGAATTAAACCCTTTCTTTATTACAATTACCATGTCTTGATAAATCAGCTCTGTCTAGGCAGCAGGCAAGGAGAGCCTGTTGGGCGGTTACACTTCTGCCCTGACAACCCAAAGTCTAAGGTGTTCTCTTCTTACCAACCAGGATTGTTGTTCCTCTTGTTCCACAGCTACGTGATCAATATGACTCGTCTCTGCAACAATCACTCCACCTATTTCCCAACTCCCCTGTGTCTTACACACCATACACTCAGACTCATCTCTAGTTAGTTCAGTAGTTTCTTTCTTATATAACTTGTAGAATCCTAGAATGTCTCCCACCTTCTGACATGTGGGCCACGCCAAGACCACCTTAGGAGTTGTCTTGTCATATTTACGATTTA